TTGTAAGTTGAGGACTACCTGCATATTTACATGAAGCAACTTTTTAGAATAAAGGCTGAAGTACTGCACAGCCCTAATAGGAAATAAAGAGGAAATATACCTCAAGGTTCTCAAAAGACTAATATTTGCACCAGTTACCAAGTTCCATGCTTGTTACTACAATGCAATATTAAAAACGATATAATACTAGATACCTGACTGGCCTGGGAGAAACCACCCAACAGCTGAGTCGTAAACTTGTTTGGCTGGCATTAAATTTGCTGCTCCGGTCTCCCTGTATGACATAGAAACGAACAGATCTTACCTTCACCCATGTAAATAACTATCCTGCAATAAATATGCAATTAAAGATACAATAGGTTGGTAGAGACTTGGCGAGTTCTGCCTATCCTACAACAGCCGGTAGTGTTTCTGTGCTGGCTCCAGCACTGCCTTTTAAAGACTGAAGGTAGAATGACCCTTTATGCCCCACCCCAAGGTGGATATTTATGTACATGTGTGTGTCTAAATAAATAGTCCAGGAAAAAGAGCATGCAGGGAACCTCAACAGATTGAAGTCAGCCTTGGCTTTTTATTCTTGCTGCTTTTACAGCATCAAATTGATTAAAAAAAAAGTGCATTTCAGCCTCAATCTAAGTTGTATAGGCCTCCCTCCTCCATTTATGGAGTCAGAAGAAATTGCTCCCCACCCCCGCCGGGGAGGCGTGAGAGCTTCCTTCTTCTACCGGCCCACCTGCATCCTATGCCAGGTGCAGCCGAGGGAGGCCGTTCTCCCCCTTGCTCTCCTCTGCCGTATTATTCACTGACCCACCTGCATGCAGTTCTGAGTTGCCTGAACTAACAAGGGCTTAATTACAGGAAAGGGGTGGCCTTACGTCGATGCTCTACTCCTGGATTGGAGAGTAAACTACCATCATTCTTTGCTTGCATTATATAAATAATGGCAAGATTTACATAATGAGGGGCTTGTAGAAGTGAATAAAATTAGTGGAATAAAAACCTGAACTTTTAATTCCAAGCATGTGGAGCCAGCCTGCAATAGCTTGATAATAGGGGAGAGACAGTCCAACGGTGAGCAGAGAGGTTCTTTATTATCTAGCAATGTATCATATCATTTATTTAAAGAAGCGGCATGGCAACAGGTGGGTAATAGTAATTCATCAAGTAGGCCCCCAGGAAGGTGTCACACAAGCTTCGGTTTGGAGGTGGGACAGGGAAGTGTGTTGTAACACCCCTCATTTTATACTCTAGAACCCCAAGATACACTTGTAGGATCAGAGTGGTCTTAATCATGTTTTGTTGAGGTTCTAAGTATGAGAATGGGGCAGGATCAGTCCTTGGAAGCCCTTTCACATTCCTAAGTGTTTCTAAAATCAATACTCTCCAATTTGGGGAGAGGAGAAAAGCCAGGCTGCTAGCATTGAACACTCTCTTGCTTCTAGATATGCCCCAGTGGAGGGGCCAATGTAAAAGCAAAGTGGTGGTGGTGGTGGGGGGAGAGGAGAATCCACCTCTCTTACAGCCTGAGGAGTTTGTGCTAGCAGACAGTTCAAATGCCTCTGAAGTTGATATTTTTTTCTTGCATTAGGATGTTACCTCCTTAAAAGAATTATATTAAGGGAGTCTTGGCATCACCGCAGATGGACAAGAATGTTTTGCAGACCAAATTCATAGTTACGAGTTTTGCAAATCCCCTTTCTTTTGGTAACCGTTTTCCTTGGCATTTTTCTAAGGCACACTTGTCCTCTTCACTGAATTATCTACCCACCTTCTTGAAATGGAGCTACTACAATCTACTCCGTGCAGAGAGCTCTTTGAAAACCGAGCAATTTCTCTTTCTTTCCTGATGATCTTGATAGTTACAGGAAGATGGCACTTTGGACACAATGATCTATTAACAAACAGATTACCTAGGTTCAACATCCGGAGGTGGGCATTTTTTGTTTTTTTCACACCAAGCTCAGTATGTGATGTAAAGACAAAGAAGATAAAAGGGCTTTGCTGAATTTTTCTGACAGCTGCACTGAAGTCTGGACTTCAGAAGGATTTTTGTTGCTGTTATTGTTGACTAGAGCTCTGGTAAAATGAAAACAAAACCCTGCTAATTGGCTTGAAGCTGGATGTGGCATCTCCCTGCAGTTCCTAGCCTGCTCAGCTTTTCATTCATTTGACTGGAATGCTCATGTTCACACATATGGACCCTGAGAGAGAGACAGATAAACTAGAGGGCCATTAGGCTACTTTGGCACAGAAAATCAGTGGAAACTTCTATAGATACTGTGAAACTGACTAGATTATCCTTTGATTAGCTGGTAAGATCCACTTATGAATCTCACCGGCAGTCAAAGCACCAGAGGGAAGGCATCTTGCTCTTGCTACCCCACACTGCATGCCTGTATCCCTCAGGATAGCTTCTATGACCTCAAAGCACCCACAGAGCCTCCCAACAGAAGGGACCATTTTTCCCACTTGCCATTTTATTTTGTTGAGGAGTAATGCAAAAATTGAACCAGAGAATGATTGCCAACAGAAAAGTGGAATAATATATTACACTAAAAACATGCAACCATGTATTCCTTCTTGCATCCCTCCACCCCCGTTTTGCCTAGTGTCAAGATATATGCGTCATCCTCATCTTGTAAGCTCAGAGATGAGATGATGTAACCTGTATTTAAAAGTGATGTTCCCTTGAGACTCTTAAAGGTAGCGATAGCAACATTTGCAGCAAAACTTGATGCCAAAATGCTGCATGTGATGACACTGTTGTGCAAGTGCCACCATTACCTATTTATGTCTATCTTGATGCCTGACCCAAGGGTGCCATTCACAGTATTTATAGTACATGATGATGTCACGTATGTCTCAGCACCTACCTCCTTCTTGCTCCCCAATCTCCTCTCCATCCCATGGACACACTCACAGCAATGGCAGTAAAGTAGCATATATCATAGTTAAGAGATCCCTCCAGAACCAAAGCCATGTTCGCTCTGCTGACTGGAAAGAAAATTTACCTCTGGCTGGCCGCCATACCTAATCTTCTAGTGAACTCCGGGAAGTGTTTCACAACTGCTTGCAGTGAGATCATCCTGGAGGGTAAGCATGCTGGTTTTAGTCTCCACTGGGGACAATTTGCATCCCTAGTAGGTTATGGTATGGGAAGGCTCACTGTGAATATGCTCACTGAGTAGCAACTGGGAAAACTACTGCTACCACGGGACTTTGCATGGGAAGGTACACCAGTGTAGATCCTGCCAAAGCTTCAGTAAATAAAACCACATGGCTGATGCCAGGAGAATGTCATAAACAGTAACTTCACTGTGTCTGAGTGCAGGACTGCTCAGTTAGAAAAAAGAAAATAATGGACAAAAAACAAGAAAAATGGTGAAACAACAAAGACCCCTGTAGCACTTAATTATTAATAGGGCATTAACTTTTGCAGAGTAATTCTGTTTCATTAGATACCTACAGTGGATACCTACAGTGTACTGTGAGATTCAAGTATTTACATATTTAACTGAAGGCATGGGTGGAAATAGAAAAGAGTGTGGTGGGAAGAAAATAAAATGCAGAAGATGCAGACAATAACTACACTCTTGATTTAGGGCATTTACATTTACAGTCTCTGGAGTGGCAAAGATATTAGTTAATTGGTCAGTTGATTAATATACATAGACCTAGAGTCTCCATATCTATTTTAGGATTATTGCTATAGAACTTAATAGTGTCATTCATAACAAGAAATGAATGATCTGTTGCTCATCTTCCAATGTCACCTATACCAGCATTTGTAAGTGCTATTTTACTATATTCTGCATAGGACACACAGATTGGTTTGTACACTTTTTTTTTTTGAACAATTGTGTAAATAACTTTTCCCCCAGTAATTATAATTGCTTGTATCTTCTGCATTTAACTTCCCTTTAGCCTCAGCAACTACTCAAAGTAGAAGTGTGCATATACTCGATCTCAAGATAATATTGTAGGGATCTGATAAAACAGATGTAGTCCATGAAAAAATTGTGTGGTTTACTGTAACAGGCTGACATGACACATCACATCCTGAACTGCAAACTAGCTCCCCATGTTGTGACTTAGTATGTTGAATGAATAGAGTTTATGAGGTTAGTTTGCATGTATTGTGCAACCCAGAGATTTGGGCTCAGTTAACCTCTGGTAAGTCCACTGCATGACTTACACCACCTGTCAGAACTACCTCTCTGGAAACTGTTAAAACACTGCTTATAGGACATATTTTTTCTTTACTCTTTTTAGTGCTGATAGCTCCCAAGTTGTAATAAAGCATCCACAAAGGTGGAATAAACAGAAATGAGAGTTTGTCCTCTTCCACAAGACCACCTTTAATAGTGCTGTTAAGAACGAGGAAGCAGGGCAAGTCAGAAAGGTAACTGGACCCAGCCTCCCCCAATCCTGGGACACACACATGTTGCATTACACGCCAATCTGAACAAGACAGTAGCTGTATGGCTAACTAGTGCCAATGGGGCTGGTGCATTTGTGGGTGCCTGCATGTAAGAAGTAGTCTCTAATGGTAGATGAGGTGAGCCATTCTACTTGAGCATGCTCACCTTGGTCGCCAAAGAGCTTCACCCAAGGATTTGAGCAGAACTTTGAGACCTTGTCACATATTTAGCATACAACAAAAGAGAATGGTGGCTCCCAAAAACAGACCATTGCTTGCCTCTAACTCAGCTGTGATGTTGTTAAATAATGATAAACTCTTGAGCAGGAAAGTCTGTGCCATGGCCTCCACTTTTGTTGTGGCAAAAAAAAAAAGAAAAGAAA